TAGTGTATTGAAGGTATTTTAAATAATTAATAATTTAAATTTTAAATTAAAAATTTAAGTTTCATTTTTGAGATAAATGAAGAGAAATCAAGAAAAGAGAGAGATATATTAATTATTATATAACTAATAATCTAATATACTAAAAAGATTATTCATTTAGTGAAGACTACTCCATTTTTTTATAATAAAAATTAAATTCCTTATTGGAAAATAGATGTACATCAATGGTGCATTAGGATTTAATCGCCATATCAACATATCAAAGAGTAACAAATTCACGGGCAAAAGTAAGGGCTTCTTCTAACCATATATGCTCCAGCACAACATACTCCCAATATTTAGATTTCTTTATTCTACCTAACTTGATTTCTTATTAGTTGGGTTTAATATAATTTTTAAATATTAAACAATTTAGTAAAAAAAAAAAAAAAGACCACAATTAGGGGAAAATTTAACTTTAGGTTGATCAATTTATCCCTTCATGTCTTCAACGTCCAACTTTTCTTCACTTAAAAACAGAGCAAACGATTATCGTCGTAAGCCTTGATCCATGTCACAGTATCACACAAATCTTTTAATCTCCTTCAACATTGCCTCATAATCTAAACAAAAAACAACATGCCCAATTTGCCCAAAATCACAAAAACAATAGTTAGAACCGAAAATCAACTAGAATTAAGCAATTCAAAAAAAGGAGAAAGTACTAACAGTACTATAGAAGAAAATAGGGAGATGGGGCAGCGGGTTGAAGAAAGGAATTGGTGAATAGCAAGAAACAGAGTGATGAAGAAGACAGAGAAACAGAGGAGTTGTGGCTAATACCAGACCCAAACAGTGATACAAATTTCACCTCCTGGTTCCAATTGCTCTTAAATTTGGTATTTAACATGATCCCATTTCTTTGTCCTCTCTTTTTTTGGACTGAAGCTAAACGTTTCTTTGTCCCCTTTAATTACCCTCTAGAAAAATGAAAAAGGAAAAAAGAAAGAAGAAGAAACTTATTTACTAAGATGAAGTAGAAATCATTTAGATTCTCCCAAGAAAAGAGGATGAGGAAGCAACAAAAGGGTTGCTCTCATGAAAGAGGCTGGACGATCTTCAAGCAATCATTAGATTGGAGTGTAGTGTAAAATTGAAAGAAAAAAAATGTTAATATTGCATTGAATGACGAGAATAAAATGAAACAAGAAAAGTAATCCAAAACACTATACATATTGACATAGTTTGAGTATCTAGTCTAGTCCAGTTAAAGCATAACTTTCCTGTCAACTTCATGTACAGCTTGAGTTTTGCTTAAGAAGATGAACATTTTCATATTGGAGAGCCTTTCAATTTGAGTTATTGTTCTATTTATGAGAAAAGAAGGGAACATGAAAATATTTAATTGATTTTCTTAGTTGGTAGAATTGATTTTCATTTACTAATTAATGAAATTAATTTCATTCGAGATAAAATAGAAATTTGTTTGAAATCAGGTTTATTGATACTAAACAACAAGTTTGAAGTTTAAACAAAATATTTAAAAAATAAAAATATTAGTATTAGATTGCTTAAGGGCATTTTTGTTAATAAAAATAAATACTTATATCCAATCCTTCTATTTTGTCTCATCCAATCTCATCTAATTGTATATTACAAACATACCTTAAAAATTTTGATATTAGAATCAATCAATTACTAATTAGAGTTTACAAGAATTGATTCAATTAGTAAAATTTAAATATTTTAAATTTTAGATTTAAATTCCATTTCCGGCATATGCGGTTTATAAATTCCATTATAAATCCTCATTGAGACCGGTGATAACCTCTCGTAGAAAAAAAAAAAAATGTTGGTTAGGGTGCAAATTTACGGTATTAAAAAATGTAATAAGACAAAAAGGAAAGAGGGCAGCATATGTGATTCAAATTCTAAAAATAAATTTCGCGATATTATATCACGGCAAATAATGATAAATAAAATTAAAAATTAAAATTTAAATATAAATTTAATGATATGATTGATGTTGCATTATCTAAAATATTAAAAAATAAATTTTATAATATTTAATAATTATTTTTTATTTT